AGGGATCCTACTGAAAAGAGGCTGGACCCAACGAGGACAGTTTTAGGGTATGGTGTGGCCCCGACTTTTCTCCCTCTTCCTTTCTGATTTTCAGAAGTGAGGGGAATGTTTGGCCACCCCACACTGTCCTTTCAACTTTTTCTTTTTTTTTTTCTTTTTTGTGCGCCACCGTAAGTATGAAAAAAAAAAAAAAAAAAAAAAGAAAACCAAACCACCTCGTTTTCTGGGCCGTCTGGATCATCAGTGAGGGTGGTAAAAAATAAGGCACTATTTTTTTGGGCGGCCCAGGGCGTGAACAATCGCCCCCGACCACCGAAAAAAATTTTGGCCATTGGGCTAGGGCCCTCACATCGGGACCAAGATCCGGACCCGGACCCCGGACCCCGGACCCCGGACCCCGGACGGTCCGGATCCCTGTCTGGTGGTCCGGATCGTAGCCATGGTTTGAAGGGATCGAATGGCCGTGCACTGATGAAAAATGAACTCAGAACTCAGTGCATACAACAAGACTTTTTCGAGAATGTATCTGACCTGAACTCCAAAAACATTCATTCAAAACAAAACAAGCCCTAGCGTGGTTATTCCCTTGGTTGTCCACTTGGAGAGATTGGTTCGCTCAGGGCAAGCCAGTTATGAATGATATCTCCTGGCCTGGCTGTTGCCCTTTTTTCAGGAGGGAAAAAGGAAAAAAAGCTTAAAAAAAGAGGAGAGAAGGACAACCCAGCCCATGTGGCCGAATGGTGAAACATTAGAGCGAAAAAAAAAAAAAAAAAAAAAAAGGCACTTCAATGCGTGTGTAACTGACACTTAACTGTTGCAAAACGGATCAGGAGTTCGGATCTTGTGGATAGGATCGATGCAGTAAGGATAGGCTCTTCCCCCTTTTGAAAAAGAAGTGCCCAGTCCCCAGCCACTACCGTGTTCACCGATAAAACGCCCAGTAATTATTGCTGTATCTGGACTGAAAGTTGTGCCAAATGCAGCTATAATAACTGGGCATTCTATTTGGGTGAAGACGGTAGTATTTAACTTTTCACTGTAGGCTGTACCAGTTCTGCTGGTGTCTGAGAGACGCTCTCCACTTTTTTTTTTTTTTCTCTGAATTGCGTTACTTTTCAATGTGCTGATGATCTCTTCTGCAAGATCAGCAATGGAAAACGGTTATTGCTCCTCAGCGGTGACATGCTGAGCTGAAAATTATCGTCAGGCGTGCGGAAAAAAAAAAATCTGAGAATTGGAGAAATGGATCGTGCTCCGCCAATGCCATGTGAGTTTGGCGTTGCAAAGGGTGTTGGAATGTAATGCTTGCTGTGCACCTGCTGGCATGTTTACTCGTCTGTAGTACATACTACCCTCTTCCTTCGGACACAACATACCCTCATTATGACGGTATCGGACTGGAAAGGCATCTTGTATAAATTCATAATAATGAGGGTGCGTTGTATTTGGGGGAAGACAGTAGCGTGTATACATTCACAATGAGGGTGCGTTGTATTTGGGGGCAGACAGTAGTGTGTATACATTCATAATGAGGGTGCGTTGTATTTGGGGGAAGACAGTAGGGGGCGTGGGAGGGTCTTGGGGGGGAAGGGAGGGATATGGGTATTATGGAGCGCTGCCACATGGCCTATCTGGAATATAGTCTGTTGCTGTAACCACTCCCCAAATCCTGTCTCTGTCTTTTTTTTTTTTTTTTTTTTTTTTTTTTTTTTTTTTT